TATCATGAAATGACCGTTTAGCTGAGCAAGGTGCTCTTGTATTAGGGGAATGCATATGAAGAGGCCCAATGTCCACCTGCCACCCTACTACCAAACCTATAATTATTTCCACCTAGGTCTGTTCCCCCCATAATCTTAAATATATTTACCTATGTACATGTCTGTATTTAGGCTTGTATGTATGCCCTTTGCCTCCTACTTCTTTCCTCTATTTCTTTACGCTTTCTTCCTGTCCCATTACGTGTTCAGCCTTCATTCTGGTTTCAGTAATTCCTCACAGTTACCTTGCCCTTGGTCACTCCCTACCAGTCCTCCCATCCCCTCCCTACCATTAGTTTTGAACAATTTGTTGTTCCCTTGTCCCTAGGTTGGCCAACCCTCCTCCCTTCCCCTACTTCCCACACTCCCATGTCCCTCTGGGGCCATCGGTCCCTTTATTTTCTTCTCATATTTTTTGCTCCATCTGTGAAGTCAGTGTTCTTTTCCTGCTCAGAATTTTTCTTCCTCATTCTTCGACTTTTGAGAAGGGATGTTGAAGGGACCATAAATGTCTTTGGACCCAGGGGAGAGGCCACAGCCATGTAAGCCACATTTTAGATGTGGGGATACATACCTTTTTGCTCAGTAGGACATATGTATGTGTGTTTTGGTCACTTCTATTTATTACTGGTATTGCTGGCTTCACACGTCTTAGTAAAAAAAAAATTATCCTATTGTATTCTGTGCCAGAGTGATTTTATATTTAGTTTAAATTAAGACAGGAATGATTTGGTTTCAGAAGTCTGAGCCTCGTGCTGTCTTCCTTTCAGACTAAAAAGCTTAGGTTTATAGGGAAATGGTTACCAGAACTCAGACCTTGTCTTTACCAAGAGAAATATTTACTCTGCCTGGAGCAGCAGTTCTCAGCCTTTGGGTCACCATCCTTTTGGGGGTCAAACGACCCTTTCACAGGGGTCACCTGATTCATAACAGTAGCAAAATTATAGTTCTGAAGTAGCAATGAAAATAATTTTATGGTTGGGGGGTCACCACACCATGAAGAGCTGTATGAAAGGGTCTCGGCATTAGGAAGGCTGAGAACCACTGGCCTAGAAAAGAGAATTTTATTAGCAACTCCTGTGAGCAAAGATGTCACATCCAGTGCTACAGATGCATTGGCTTCTTCACCTGTGCATGCAGGCCCCAGCCTTTAAGGGTTCCTGCATGCAAGATTAAAGAAGCACCCATCCAAGAATGCTGAGTTCCCACTAGATGATGTGAGGTAGCAGGGGGTTCTGGGGAATGTAGTCTCAACGAGAAGGAGTAGTCCTAAGATTAGTGCCCATTCTAATAGTTTCCTAGAGAAGACCTGGCTCTACTGGCATTTGTCTGCACTGCTGTCCCATTTGGTTACACAGGGAAAGCATCCTTGCCTCTGCCTCTGGTCCAGAGCTCTGCTCTGACTTCTCTGTCTGATGGAAGAAATGGACGTTAAGTTTCATCTCTTTGTGTCATCACTGGACATGATTGATAGAGTGAAAATAACTATCAAACATAGTAAATATTTACCGATTTTCCTACCACTTTTAACTACTTTCAGTCACATTTTGTAGCAGACCACCCTGAGACATAGAGAACTTAAGTGACTTTCTCCTGCCGCACAGAGTTTAAATGAGGAACTCCAAATCTAGTCAGTGACTTAAACCACGATGAGCTATTC